CATACATACACTGCTCAAAAAATAAAGGGAACACAAAAAGAACACCTAAATCCTAGATCTGAATGAATTAAATATTCTTCTGAAATACTTTGTTCTTTACATAGTTGAATGTGCTGACAATAAAATCACACAAAAATAAAAAAATGGAAATCAAATTTTTCAACCCATGGAGGTCTGGATTTGGAGTGACACTCAAAATTAAAGTGGAAAAACACACTACAGGCTGATCCAACTTTGATGTAATGTCCTTAAAACAAGTCAAAATGAGGCTCAGTAGTGTGTGTGGCCTCCACGTGCCTATATGACCACCTTACAACGCCTGTGCATGCTCCTGATGAGGTGGCGGATGGTCTCCTGAGGGATCTCCTCCAGGACCTGGACTAAAGCATCTGCCAACTCCTGGACAGTCTTTGGTGCAACGTGACGTTGGTGGATGGAGCGAGACATGATGTCCCAGATGTGCTCAATTGGATTCAGGTCTGGGGAACGGGCGGGCCAGTCCATAGCTTCAATCCCTTCGTCTTGCAGGAACTGCTGACACACTCCAGCCACATGAGGTCTAGCATTGTCTTGCATTAGGAGGAACCCAGGGCCAACAGCACCAGCACATGTTCTCACAAGGGGTCTGAGGATCTCATCTCGGTACCTAATGGCAGTCAGGCTACCTCTGGCAATCACATGGAGGGCTGTGCGGCCCCCCAAAGAAATGCCACCCCACACCATTACTGACCCACTACCAAACTGGTCATGCTGGAGTATGTTGCAGGCAGCAGAATGTTCTCCACGGCGTCTCCAGACTATCACATCTGTCACATGTGCTCAGTGTGAACCTGCTTTCATCTGTGAAGAGCACAGGGCGCCAGTGGCAAATTTGCCAATCTTGGTGTTCTCTGGCAAATGTCAAACGTCCTAAACAGTGTTGGGATGTAAGCACAACCCCCACCTGTGGACGTTGTGCCCTCATACCACCCTCATGGAGTCTGTTTCTGACCGTTTGAGCAGACACATGCACATTTGTGGCCTGCTGGAGATCATTTTGCAGGGCTCTGGCAGTGCCCCTGTTCCTCCTTGCACAAAAGCAGAGGTAGCGGTCCTGCTGCTGGGTTGTTGCCCTCCTACGGCCTCATCCACGTCTCCTGATGTACTGGCCTGTCTCCTGGTAGTGCCTCCATGCTCTGGACACTACGCTGACAGACACAGCAAACCTTCTTTCCACAGCTCGCATTGATGTGCCATCCTGGATGAGCTGCACTACCTGACCCACTTGTGTGGGTTGTAGACTCCGTCTCATGCAACCACTAGAGTGAAAGCACAGCCAGCATTTAAAAGTGACCAAAACATTAGCCAGGAAGCATAGGAACTGAGAAGTGGTCTGTGGTCACCACCTGCAGAACCACTCCTTTATTGGGGGTGTTTTGCTAATTGCCTATAATTTCCACCTGTTGTCTATCCCATTTGCACAACAGCATGCGAAATTGAATGTCACTCAGTGTTGCTACCTAAGTGGACAGTTTGATTTCACAGAAGTGTGATTGACTTGGAGTTACATTGTGTTGTTTAAGTGTTCCCTTTATTTTTTTGAGCAGTGTATATATTAGAGTGCAGCCGTATTAGTCCAGTGATGCAGATGTAAAAAAGCAGATAAAAATTTGTATCTTGTAACATTATTGGACTAACAAGATTTTTAATGACAAGTCTAAAGCATTTCTGAGCAAGACAACATATATAATTCAACTTTGAATTCTATATGTTGTCTTGCTCAGAAATGCTTTAGACTTGAGAAAGGGCAGTTCTTCCGAAAGCTTGTCATTAAAAATAATCTGTTAGTCCAATAAAAAAGGTATTACAAGATATGAATTGTATCTTTTTTTACGGGGGGGAACCTACTTTTTGATGTATATCAAAAAGGTACCTATGTCCTTGCACTCAGACTAACCCAGTTACTTAAAAGCCAGGTGCACTTTAAGCCATACAGGTAGAGAACGGATCAGCGCTGTGTGATGTGATCAAGTAGAAAGCTGCAAACTATAGGTATGAGGTTCCCTCTGAAGTCCTCAAAGGAGAAATGACAAAAACAGGAATAATAGGTTGCGCTACATAAATATCAAATGAAAAGGGATAAATATGTCAAAACACTTTAAAACGTAAATGAGGAGGAATATGTAAAAAGGAGGGATTTAATAAATATAAAAAAAATTTTTTTTATATATATAAAAAGAAAGTCCAAATTTTTGATATCCTTTTGATAAGTTCAAATAAGTGAATGATAGTAACAGTACTTGGTATATTTCTCTTTCAGGTTCCGGTAAGTATTTGGAGGTAGAAAGTCCAATAAGAGACTGGATCTTCTAGTCTTTAGAGGAGTCTTGATTCAGAGGTGAACATGGAAAATATAAGCAACAAAGACGATCCAATAGTGTAGACTGTCTGTGGTAAATAATAATAATAGGTAGGTAATACACTCACCTATCTTAGAGCATAAACTCGCTCTAGTATGTTGGGCGTTCAGTGGCGTTTATCCCCCACTGGTAGGATATAGATGAAGGTAATTCCTCGGTAATAGAAAGGAGATAAAAGCAGAATATAGTGCTCACTGGATAAAAATGAAATAAAATAAAAGAATAAAAATACTCACATTCGAATGAGCAGGATAAACTGCTCAGTATATTCGCATAGGTGGTACAATCCCCACCGAGGATTCTTGGTCGTGAGTAGATTCCAAGTTGGTGAATGACCAGGTGACAGGAAATATTTAAAATAAGTTATTAAAAATAAAATAAAAAGGTATATGGCAAAATTGTTGTAAAGAAGCCACTATTCCTTTATTAGTACAATAAAAAATATATAAAATAGCCAAAACGCGTTTCGCCACACAGGGCTTTATCAACTGGCAATAGTAAAAATCAGCCTGGTACATAGATACTTATATAAACTATGATAAAACATGCTTATTCAAATTTTGGCGCCAAAATGACGTCATCCATACAGTGTGTGAAAAGCAAAATGATTAAAAACATAAAAATACATAAAAAATACAGAATGCATAGTATTCATAATATAAAATATAAAATAATGCATAATATTTGATAATAAAACGAGTGTTATTGGTTAAAATAATAAATTGAATCAAAAATCATGTGATCGCAATCTAATGCGATCACATGGTGAGCACTGAGGCAATATGGGAAATGTAGTAACAGGGGAGGGAGCGAAAATAGATGGTCACGTGATCACGGACCTTCGTGATCACGTGACTAATTGCACATATCGGTGTAGGATGTGACCGCTCAGACGGAGGTCGGCATCCTGTGGCACGCCTCCGTCTGACGTCAATGGTGGGGGCGGTGTATACCGCAAGGGCTCGTGGGGTATGCAATGTTCAGACGGGGGCCGGCAACAAGGGGCACGCCTCCGTCTGACATCAACAAAAAGGGGCGGCGCCTAATGCCAATCATGATCAACCTTTATACACAACGAAAATAAGTGGCATAACAGCCAATGATAAAACAAATATAAATAAAACGAATATAAATATATAAATATATAAAACAAATATGAATATGTAAAAGAATAGGAAAAAGAATAATAGAACAAAAAAAAAGTAAAAAGTGTATTTAGGAGCTAAATAGCTAGGTATATATTATTAACCTTATGGTAACAAATAGCCCCTATACATTTGGGCTAGAGAAAAAAAAAAAAGGGAAGATAAATAAATAAAGGGTAGAATGTGTGATATATTATAAAAAAATTAAAAAAAAAAAAAATTATAAAAAATTAAAAAGGTCAAATTCAGCGTTCAAGCCCTCAGGAAAAAGAGTCTTAAGTGTATAGACCCAGTACATTTCCCTTTTGCCTAAAGTTTTTATCATATCTCCACCTCTCCATGGGAGAGTAACTTGTTCTATACCAGTTACTTTTAAAAGTGTCGGGTCTTTATTATGTATTAAAAAATGCTTGGAAACTGAATGATTCTCATAACCTCTCCTAATGTTACGGCAATGTTCTGCTAATCTCACTTTAAGGCATCTCTTAGTCATGCCCACATATTGGAGCCCGCATGGGCATTCCAATAAGTATATCACATTTTTGGTATTACAGCCTATATATTCTTTAATTGTGTAGGAGGTTTTAGTAATATTAGAGGCAAAATGGATAGTTTTAGAATTTGTAATTCCTTTAGTGGTTCTACACACAATACATTTGTTACACTTAAAACAACCTTTAGGTCTAGATAGAAAAGTTTTATTTTGTTGTACATTCTCTCTTGTATAGTTTTTTGTGAGGATGGTTCTGAAATTGGGGGCCCCTCTAAACACAACATTAGGTCTCTCTGGGATGTGGTCTTTCAAAAGGTCGTCTTGTTTAAGGATATGCCAATGTTTATTTAGAATTTTCTTTAAAGTTTTATTTTTATTGTTAAAATCCAAGATAATGGGTAATTGAGGGGGGTCTACTTTTTTCACTTTATATTCGAGAAGCTCCTTTCTTTGTTTCGTTTTAACTGTCTCTAAGGCTGTATTTAACTTATCTGCCTCATAATTTTTGTCTAAAAACATATTTTTCAATGAGGTAGATTGGGCATTAAAATCAGCTGTTAGGGAACAATTTCGATGAAGACGGAGGAATTGGCTTTTTGGGATACCATCCAACCACGGTCTATGATGACAACTAGTTTGGTCGATAATCGTATTAGTGCAAACTTCTTTAAAGAAGGTCTTAGTTTGGATACGTCCATCTTGAATAAAAATATTTAAATCTAAAAAATTAACTGACGTTTTGCTAAAATCTGAAGATAAAACTATGCCTCTATCATTGACATTTAAAAAGTCTAAAAACAGTTTAAGAGAAGTTTCCGAGCCTTGCCAAATAAAAAATAAATCGTCTATATAACGAAAATAAGAAACCAGGTTTGCCCGCCAGCCATGATCCCCCCAGACCGCCGTGGATTCCCAATCGGCCATGAAGAGATTGGCATAGCTGGGGGCAAACCTGGTTCCCATAGCTGTACCTTTCTTTTGAATATAAAATGAATCTAAAAACCAAAAGTAATTGTTGGTAAGGATAATTTCTATACCTTGTATGATAAAATCTATTTGGGAATCTGGAATGGAACTGTTTTGTTTTAAAATCCTTTCTACTGATTGGCAACCAATATCATGAGGAATTATAGTGTACAATGATTGCACATCGCATGTTACCAATATATAGTCATGGTGCCAGTTAAAATCACTTAAAAAAGATAGAAGAGTCATAGAATCTTTCAAATATGATCTAGTTTGTTTTACCAAAGGTTGTAATAAAATATCGATATATTCAGAAAGATTAGATAGGACAGAATTAATACCCGATACGATAGGTCTCCCTGGAGGATTTTCTGCATTCTTGTGGATTTTCGGAAGAAAGTAAATCACTGGGATTTTGGGATAGGGAATCGTGAGGTAGTCGAATTCATGTTTGTTTAAAATTCCCATATCTGATCCTTTTCTTAAAAATACATTTAAAATTTCTTTGACCTTAGAGGTAGGGTCATACAGTAATTTGTCATATACCTCAGGGTCATTGAGTTGGCGATTAGCTTCATTTCTATACATCGATTGGGACTGGATGTATAGAAATGAAGCTAATCGCCAGGGAGACCTATCGTATCGGGTATTAATTCTGTCCTATCTAATCTTTCTGAATATATCGATATTTTATTACAACCTTTGGTAAAACAAACTAGATCATATTTGAAAGATTCTATGACTCTTCTATCTTTTTTAAGTGATTTTAACTGGCACCATGACTATATATTGGTAACATGCGATGTGCAATCATTGTACACTATATTTCCTCATGATATTGGTTGCCAATCAGTAGAAAGGATTTTAAAACAAAACAGTTCCATTCCAGATTCCCAAATAGATTTTATCATACAAGGTATAGAAATTATCCTTACCAACAATTACTTTTGGTTTTTAGATTCATTTTATATTCAAAAGAAAGGTACAGCTATGGGAACCAGGTTTGCCCCCAGCTATGCCAATCTCTTCATGGCCGATTGGGAATCCACGGCGGTCTGGGGGGATCATGGCTGGCGGGCAAACCTGGTTTCTTATTTTCGTTATATAGACGATTTATTTTTTATTTGGCAAGGCTCGGAAACTTCTCTTAAACTGTTTTTAGACTTTTTAAATGTCAATGATAGAGGCATAGTTTTATCTTCAGATTTTAGCAAAACGTCAGTTAATTTTTTAGATTTAAATATTTTTATTCAAGATGGACGTATCCAAACTAAGACCTTCTTTAAAGAAGTTTGCACTAATACGATTATCGACCAAACTAGTTGTCATCATAGACCGTGGTTGGATGGTATCCCAAAAAGCCAATTCCTCCGTCTTCATCGAAATTGTTCCCTAACAGCTGATTTTAATGCCCAATCTACCTCACTGAAAAATATGTTTTTAGACAAAAATTATGAGGCAGATAAGTTAAATACAGCCTTAGAGACAGTTAAAACGAAACAAAGAAAGGAGCTTCTCGAATATAAAGTGAAAAAAGTAGACCCCCCTCAATTACCCATTATCTTGGATTTTAACAATAAAAATAAAACTTTAAAGAAAATTCTAAATAAACATTGGCATATCCTTAAACAAGACGACCTTTTGAAAGACCACATCCCAGAGAGACCTAATGTTGTGTTTAGAGGGGCCCCCAATTTCAGAACCATCCTCACAAAAAACTATACAAGAGAGAATGTACAACAAA